CGACGTCGTCGTTGTCGTCGTAATCGGCGTCTCGATTCATCGCTTATGCGAGCACCGAGATGCGGGTGCGGCTGTACCTCGCGAGTCTCTCTCTCTCTCTCTCTGCCTTCCTTGCGATAGGACGCGCGACAACCGATACACACAACCGCTAGAGAACGAGTGCGCCGCTTAAAATGGCGTGCTCGTTGCATCACGTTGATACGACGGTAGACGCCAATTATTGTCGATATATACCGAGTGTCCCGACGACGCTGCGTCTGAATTTGAAAACGTATCCTTTTTCCTCGCGGAGGGAAAATTGTAACGTCGAGCTTCCCCGAGTCAGTTCAAATTACCTCGCGAGGACCTTCTTCACCGCGCGACCTCGTAACCGGAAACCACTTCCGAAAATGAAACACCGTGTTGACCCTTTGTGGTACGCATTGTTTCCGACTTTTCTTCTCACAATCGGATCGTCGACATTTACCTACCTCGCTCTGCAGTATCGCGTGGCCTACGTTTATTTCAGTGTTTTGTTATTACTTATCAATTAATTGAATTGTTGAATTGAATTTTTTTTGTCCATTTATTGGACAAGCCTCTTTTCGTTCAGTAAATATGTTCAGATTTTGCGCATCTTTTGTGCGCAGTAACTGCGCAGGAAAAGCGTTACATCGTAATTGGGATTTCAGGTAGTTTTACTCAGTCAGTTACCAGACGGAAATTAGTAAACTGTCCGGTCGTAATTGCTCCAAATATGCATGAAATTTCCATCAGGATGGGGGGGTTAATAAATGAAACAAATCGGCTTGAACGCGCCCGACCGGAACAAAACGCGCGACGTCGAGGCGGACCCGAGATCGCAAAGAGTCGCAAAACATTGTGCGAAACTCTTGGATTTTTTTAACCGTAGAAAAAAAAACTACCAAGCCGAAGGTCTTTCCCGTCGTGAAAATTCGACGCGGTGAGATCGGGACACCCAGTGCGTCTCGGCCGATCGGAGTGACGGACGTAGAACGAGCGAGCAAGAGGAGAGAAAGAGAGAGAGAAAGAAAGAGAAATGCCAACGGATGTTGTTGTCGGGGCGGCTTTAAATGACCGCGATCCAAGTCGCAGCTGATCGCAGCTTTGGAGAAGTCGCTCGCGCGCTGTGACGTACTCCGCTCTTCGCGCGTTATCGAGGGGGTAGATGCGAGTTATTTTCGCGAGCGGATTTTTCGGCGTAGAGCTTGCTCGTTTCCTCGTGAACGGTGCAGCCGAGCCTTCCTCGTCAAAGTTTACTTGGCTGCTCGCTCGTTTACTCGTTGCTCGTTGCCTGCCTCGCTTAACAACGCGCGCCTTTCTGCTTCTCTTCCCGGATCAACGACGTAACGATGGGACGGCGAGCCCCGTTCCCGAGCGTTCGACGAGCGCGTTTTACGACGACCGTTTCCTTCGACGGGAGCTGAGTGGAAATCCCAGCCTGTCGCCAGACAGAAGCTGCAATCCCCGACGGAATTCGACGATTTGCCACGGAAGTCGACTCGGAGTCGAGCAAGCAACCGTCGTCTTTCGTTAAATGTTTAATCCCAGAAGCGGGAAATTAACCCTCACAAGGAAAGGTAGAGTGGCAGGATGTGAGCAAAAAAATAGGGAGTCACGAGTGACACAGATATATCAACATACATTCTGCTTGACTAAAACAAGTAAAGGACACAACAATCATACGGAACAATAAGCAAGAATATATTTTTCAAAAATGTTACAATAATAAATGAGAAAATAAATATCTTAAGAAGGGGCCGTATGAATGACGCCTACCCGTAGTTTGACAGCTCGGAAAAGAAAGCAATTTTTTTGCCATTGTTCCGATGGTTAAGAAGAATAGGTATCTCGCGTCGCAGTAACGGTTGTCCGTACGATGCATCGCGCGGCGGTTTCACTAAGAGGCGGCGACGACGACGAGCTCCTCTCCGTTCGGCGATCGCGCGATACGTGATCTTCTAATAATAATAACTGCGTCATTTTTCCGGATATTGCGTATCGGAATCGCAGTGAACCCGCGGACGCAACCAGGAAGCGATAAGTCACGAAGTTTTGGCCGGTTACCGCGGACTTACTCGCGGTTTCACCGGAAAGATGCGAGGAGGTGACATTAAACGCCTAGTGCCAAGCTCGCACGCGGATGCACGCAAATACCAAGAATAAAATCCCGCGACGCGCGCGCGCGATCCGGTGTTTTCGCCAGCGTCTGTTTTAACAAAAGGTGCTTGCGTCGGCGACGGCGCGCTCCACACTACGTCATCGGGGAATAAGTGGAACGTTCCGCGCGTGTACCCTCGTTCTTGTTATTCCGAGACCCGGTTTACTCGGCCTGCGGACGACGAATCGCTCCGCTCACCGGCAAACGAGCAGTTTTCATTCTTTGCCCGCCTCCCTACCTCCTTTCCTTAGTTAGTTAGTTGATTTAATTATACGCGACACTCGAGGAGGAACACTGAATTGAAGTCTGGATTGAAGCACGCATTCTCGTCGTCATTCCGAAATCGTCTCTGGAAAAACGTCACCGTAGAAGTTCCGATGCGTCTAAAGGTGGGTGCACACCGAACGAACGGCGAATGTATAATATGAATGTGTACAGAGTCAGTCACAGGACGATTGCGACACTTTCTTTCTTGGTAAATTTCAGAACGCATTCCGCATTCAATACGAGAATTCGTTTAAGAATATTCAGGAGGTATACATCTTTCTATTGGATACGAGATGCGTTGCGAAAATCGTTATTGTCAATTTCTTGATTGGTTCAATTTCCTGCGTGTCATAATCATAAAGCGCACACGAGATTCTTTTGATAAAGCACCTTACGATCAAATCTACTTGAAACATTCTGCTTGTTATGGCGTACAAATTTTCTAAATTGTAACAACGCAAGTTCGCGCTCGCCGTTCGCTTCTTGTTCGCTCGGTGTGTATATCCAGCTTAATACCGCGTATCGAATCGTGCGCTGTTCCCCGACGAGGCATCGAAGCCTCGGCGATAGTCTGAGTCACGTGTATCGACGCGACCTCTCGAAACTGATCGAACAGACGGGCTCGCGTTACGCGAGAGTACGTCACTGCATTCACAGCGCTGCGGATGTGTCAGATTGGTATGGGGCGAGGGGCCGTCCGGGGGAAGGGAGGGGTAGTGATGTCGCGGGGCGAAGAAAGGGGAACGAGTGGGAGCGACGTGCCCGGTTGTGTGAGGAGAGAGGAGAAGAAAGGGAGAGAGAGACGTACATACCAAGAGAGGAGAGAGCGTCGGCGGTGAGGACGGTGGTCAGACAGAGACGAGATGAATGAACGTGCGTATTTGCGCGCACAAGTAAGACAGAGAGGTAGCGAAAACGAGGATGGGAGAGAGAGAGGGAGACAGAGAGAGAGAGAGAGAGGGAGTGAGAAGTGGGCGCACGAATGAATGAACGGTGCACGACGAGGATGGAATTAATGAGTAGGATAAATATAGAATCGAGTAGCGCGCCAGAATGAGACGGTCGCGCGCTCTCTCTCTCTCTCTCTCTCTCATCCTTCCCTCTTCTTCTCCTCTCTCCTTCTCTCTCTATATATATAATATCTATCTGTCTATCTCTTTCTCTGTTCTTCTCTATCCGCGCCCTCTGTCGGTTCCGGCGGTCTGTACGCTCGCCAACTCGCGCCTCGTTGATCGTGCAGCTTTTCGTCCTTCGTGTCTGCTGGATCGAGGGTAAAGAAATGACACGAGGGGAGAGTCCGTCTCGAGATCGATCCACCATGTGTGCGCCTTGAGTGAAACCCGCACGGCGGAGATACGAAACCTCTTACACGGGGACGCTCTTCAGAGAAGTCCATTAACCTACTTTGTCGTGTTACGAGATGCGCGATCTTCTCGCGTTTGCTTTTGATCCGCGGGTCAATTTCAAAATATGCAGCCTCGAAAGCATCGAGCGTTGTATTCAAGCAATGTCGCATCGTATCGACGTCTCGTGTGTACGCGCTTTTTACCCGGTCGGTCGACGGAACCTCCTCAGGGAGACGTGCGACGGGCACGTATCTCGCTCTCGTTGCCGTAGACGAAGATGGCGACGCGCGATGAGAGAAAGAAAGAGAGTCTCACTCCGCGAGATCAGTTCGCGTCGCATCGCTCGAGCGCTACTCCTCTCGAGAAACGCGTCTCAATGACATGGCGGTCATTGAAACGCGACGTCACGTCGCCTCTCTCATATCTGATCGATAACGCCCCCTATCTATAGTATCCTTCGTGTATCCGCCGCGAGTATTCTCACGGAGCGCGGAAACGCTGGTCGAAAAAAGCGGCGGAAGAAACGAGCCGGGCGACATCGCCTGGCTGCGTCGTCACCACTACCATATCGTACCTCTTGTTCCTCCTCATCATCACCATCAACATCACCGCCACCATCACCACCATCGTCACCGTCGCTGTCACCACTTCATCCATCGAACGCGAGCGCGGTCGTCACTGTCGAGCCGCGCCGACGCCGTGTGACGGCGCGCGTTGCCGCGCACGGCCGCGGTGACGACGTAGGTAATGTTTTCATTCAATCCGAAGCTTCAATGATAGCTTCCGTCCATTCATAAAAAGCTTCTCGTGTGCGTCGACCGGCCGGGAGGCGGCGGCGTTCAGCCACCTTATCGCCAGATGGCGACGCCGTACCGTGTGCGCAAACGCGCCCGCGACAGGCAGAGAGAGAGAGACCTTGTCTCTCTCTCCCTCTCTCCCCCTGCCGGCGCCTCTCCGCCTGCCAGTTCGCCCTTTCCCCTTCCACCTCTTTTCACTTTTTCTCCTCCGTCCCCGCGTCCGACTGTCGCCATTCATGGCTTCCTTCCCACCGTCTCTCTTCCTGTTTCCTCTCCCTCCGCCTACGTTTCGTCCCCCCTCCCCCATGCGCTCCCTCCGACAGCTTGCTCCCCCCCCGTCCCCTCCGGCCGTCACTAGCTCGTTCTTGTCCTCCTCCCTCCGCCGCCAACGACGCGTCCCCCTTCGCCTCGGCGGCCGCCGCCTTTCCAGCTCGATTCGCTCGCAGCGAACCCATTGTCAGTCGGTCGTCGGCGGTCGTGTGGTGCGTGTCTTGTTTCTATCTTCTCTCACTTGCTCGCTCACATACACACACTCTCTCTCTCTCTCTCTCCCCGCTCGTGAGCTCTCATTCACTGTTCTCCGGCATTCAGCAGCTGTTGCGCCTCCCGAGTTCCTTCCGGCGAAGAGTCTCCACCCCCGAGAGGGACCGCCCGGGAGTACCGGATTTCTTCTCGCCAACTCGACGCGGCAATCCCCCGCGACTACGTGTCGTCGACGAGACTCTTTCTCTCGTAGGGTTGAGCGGTGTGCGCGAATCTTCGCACGGTTATCCGTAAACGTCGTCCGACGTGTCGTCGTCGATCTGCGCGAACCTGAGCGAAAGAGACGACGGAGAAGAGTGGAATGGACGAAAGTGCGAGTAGAGCGGAGTGCTCGTGGTTCCACTTGGCGGATCTTCCTCTCTCGGTCCTCTCTTTCTCTTCCTCTTTCGCTCTCTATTTCTCTCTCTCTGTCTTCGAGGACGACGCGACTCGTCGTCGTTGATGCCGTGCCGGGCCGGGAGAGAATGCGGATTCGAGCGTCGCGACAACCGCGACGACGACTCGGGAAGCAGCAGCTCAGCCACGACGGACCTCGAGAACGTTTCTCGCGAGTGCCCACGGGACCGTCCTGCGGACTGTTGTGCTCGCGCGTGAGAGTGCGTGCCGTCGCTACTGACTGCAGATTTCGTCGGCCACGGCGGAATCCACGTTCTTTTCTGCCAGCCCGCTAGTCCTATGAATTTTCAGTAAGTTCCCTTTTTTAACACTTCTCCCCCCTTCTCGCTGTCTCTTTGTCTCTTTCTTCTTTTATTCCCGGATATAATTTGTAACTTTGACAAAAAAGTTTTTGCGGTGAACTCTGGGTATCTCTTGAGTAAAATCTTTGATGTGACAAAGTTACAATAGCAGCCTTGAAACACAGAAACACAGACAAAAGTTTGAGAAAAATTGATTTTTCTCCGCGATAAAACTTGTAACTTTGACGTGTCAAAGTTACTATGGGCGAACTTGGCGTCTCTTGAGAAAAACGGATCTCTCTCCCCGCGATGTAATTTGTAACTTTGATGCGACCAAGTTACAATGGCAGCTTTGGTACTTTTTGAGAAAGAACAGATCTCTTCCCGTGATGTAATTTGTGACTTGGGTGCGAAAAAGTTACAATTTCTCGGTCTCTTTTCTGAGAAAAGCGAGTCTCCAAATTTGCGCGAAAGAAAAAAAAAGACAAAAAAGAAAAAGGGAATTGCGAGACAATTTCGTTATGAGCGACGTCACCGTTTTCATTTCAAGTCCCTCGCGGTCGATTGCGTAATTGGAAGTAACTTCCTGCTGAGAGAGTGGTCTCTGGAACCTGTCTTTTGGCGATTGTGAATTTTTTTTTTCGTCGCACAAGCCCGAAAATGTCACGATTCTAGCGTTGCTCGACAAAAATGCCGGCCTTATTATCGGATCCCCCGAGATTTCTATGCTCGGATACGTCTCCGTCTTCTCCCACGATTAATTCGTTATCGCCGCGCGCAGGCCGGATGTACATCCGCTAATGTCGAACGCTGCGACCGTAAAGTTCCGCGCGACGGTTACGGAGCCGCGGAGTCGGTTTAGCCGCGAAGTTAGTTAGCCAATTAGCCAGTTAACTCACTCGTGACGTATAATTATTTTATTTATTCCCTTGTGTGTGAGAGGGAGAGAGAGAGAGACGCGAAAAGAACTCAATACATTATAATAAACTCTCAGTCGGATATCTCTAATTAACCGTTGCGATTCTACTCGTAAATTCGTAAATTCGTAAATTCCGGTTGTTACGCGCGCATGGCAGTGCGGCATGTCGGTCCGTTTTAGTCTCAAAAGTCCGTGATTTCTATCAACTCGATTTTATCGACATCGCCGCTCGTCACCGAAGCAATGAATTCTCTCTCTCTCTCTCTCTTTCTCTCTCTTTCTTTCTTTCTTTTTCTCTTTCTCCCGTCTTCTCGTTGCGCTTCGAGACGGAGGCGGATGTCGGAAAGAAAAACTCGACGGTGCTATCGCGCGAACATGCCTCTGACTCCTATGTAGTGCACGTTCCGCATATCGCGGCAATAAAAGTGCAATCGGCGAATTTCACAAATTCCGCAGGATTTCGTACGATCGCGCGTTCCAATATACACACACGTGTAAATGTAAGTAAATAAATAAATTTATATCTCGAGATAAACTCGGAGAAGATATTTCAAACTTTTTTTTTTTTTTTCATATGAAATTCTTTTCAATTTTATCATGAAAATCCCCGTAATCCTCCGTAAGGAAATTCTAGACTGTCAGTTTAAAGTTTATCTTGCTGAGAAATATCGTGATATTTTTAAAGAACGGATCTCAGCTGCTAATAATGTAAATAGCGCGTATGAAAGATGTTGAGCTGGGGCGAAATGTCGATACGTTGCTCGGTTGCGAAATTCGATGGTAATTTTTACGTAAAATTTTCCCCGTCCGCATAGTCTATTTTGCAAACGATACGCAAAATTTCAAGTCATTAATTATTGAAAAAATGACCACGTATACAGACGCTTCTTTAATTAATATCTCAGGTATTTGCATGTTATTTGCACAATGGTAGAGAACTTTCTTGTTCAAAGTGGTCTAATCTACAAGTATATGACAACTGTTGTACCCAATGACAGATTCGAGGTTCAATATTCATATATACTAATGTTTGTTATTAGATACAACTGCTTGTCATACTTGTGGATCAGGCTGCTTCGAATAAAAAAAAGTTCCTTACCGTATACGTATTATATATATTCATACATATAAGTCCAAACATATGTACATATATAAATATATGGGCACGTGTGTGTATGAAGTGTGGCATATCGCAATATCGAGAAGAAGACGTGCGTTATCGTCGCTCGCGCGTTAATTGAAACTCGTTAGCGGGTCGCGTACGAATCTGAAATCTGCGGGGGAAGCAGATAACGGGAGGAAGAACGTTGTATCCGGTCTTATCGCGCTCGTTTCCGAACGGTATTAAAGGCCACTATATTAAACGCCGGGATTCACGGGCTCGCCGCATGAAAGAAGCCTTATGCGACGCTCTCAAGCGCCGCCCGCGCGCGCGGCTGTTGCCTCTCGATGCGACAAATAACGGGCTCGGCAGGCACGAATTCGTCGGCGCGCGACTCTTCAAATTCTTTTCAACTTCTCTCAAGTGAACAGAGTCGCAGTCTTTTTCTCCTCTTTCTCTCTTTCTTTTTTTATATCGCGAATTCGCTCATACCGCTCCTGCGAGTCCTCAAAGTTCCCGGATTCGCACGTTCGCCTGTGTGACTCTTTCCTCTCATTCATTGCTAATTAAGTGATCGGTGGTCCAAGCTGAACAATCAAGTTGAATAATCGCAGTCTTATTCTCGGAGTGGCGAGAGATTTTAGAAAATTTCAGAAAACGGTCTCGCTTCCGCGCGCGCGCGCCGCGGTTCTCGTAATGATCCGTCCTTTCCTTCGCGAGGCACGTACGTACACACACATATGCACGCACGCGCGCGTTTTGCGAAATACTGCCGACTCAATGAAACTTCTGATATAATATCATTGCGGCTTGCGAGCCGCATGCCGCTGTGTGACCTATTTTGCCTGAGACCGTTTGCGGAGTTTATCGCGGAGTCCCGGCGGAATCTTCACGGTTTTGCAAAATTTCGCGATAATGCCGCCTCGTGCGAGTAATTACGGCTCCACTGAGAGCAGAGAGAGAGAGAGAGGATGTTTCGTAAATATTCCGAAATTCTTTCCCCTTATCTGCGCGCGTAATCAAAACTTGTTGGCACGACGGTTCGTTGATTTTTACGTAGCTAGACCACACGGAGGAAACCGATATCGGAGGAAGGACTTATCCGGTCTTATCATACACGTTTCCGACTGCCGTTGATAAACTGTTTGTATGCTAGCGCGACGGTGTTAACTCGCACGCGCGCGCGAACTAGCATTCTCGCGTAATACCGCGCGCGGTTTCTCGCCTCGCGCGCACGTTCCACTCGAATTGGAAAACGCTCGCGTGTATAAATATAAATACTACGCGTCGTCTCGCAAATAATGTTAGAACAAAAGCACGCGCGGAGCCAGTACCGTCATCGCGTCATTCACCTACACCCAACGGCATAGGTGCACGCGCAGGAATCAACATTGTCATAAATGTTAACTGTGACTGACTTATCGAATCTATTTTCAGATTATCTATCGTAAACAGTACTTTTTTTTTTTTTTTTTTCGTTGTTGCTTCTAGATATTTACGTCATGGAAAAACGCACACGTGCCGCGCATACATGAGAGAGAGGAGGAGGGGGGGGGGGAGAAAAAATATTAGCAGCTTTCTTCATGTGAAATATTCTTGCCAACTTTTGCCACGTTTTCTAGCAAACTGGCGGTATATCATATCTTGCTAAAGAACACAATAAATTTCTCTCTCTCTCTCTCTTTCTCTCTTTCAATGATAATTCCTAAAATACAATTAGCACGTACGAAATTAAGGCAGAATGTCGATATTTTTTTCCAAATAAAAAATTCTATATAATAATATAATTTTAGAGTTTTGGAGAAAATTTTCCCAATTTTTCACGGATTTTTTTTTATTTCTTATCTTTTTGAGGGAACATCTGCCTCTAAAAACGTATGTAATTTAATGTTGAAAAATATTAATTTTACAATGTATGAAACTGTAAGGTCGAAACGACGATACTTGCGTGTTTAATTTCATGCTCGTGCGTTCGATTCGACGATGAACATGCGGCACGCGGATGTAGTATCGATCATCCGCGCGCCGTCATCGATTCGTTTACCGAGATTTTTCCCCGAAGTCCTTTCCATTCGCGCGCGGCGTTGCGGCTCGCGATTGATTCAACGTTCGTTTCATCGTTACCGAGAATATCCGCGAAGGCGACCCGATCGGGCATATCTCTGCGATGAAATAGCTCGAGTATCTCCGCGAATCGGCCGCGAAGCAAGCAAGAGACGGAAAGAGGGAAAGAAAGGGAAGGAGAGAAAATTATGATCGTATCCGAGCCGCGCGTTACTTACCGCCTTTCAAATCGGTAGAACGTCTTTCGCAGAGACTCTCGAATAATAAATATCAATAGCTCGAAAAAAGCAAAGGCCTCGATATATTCATCGGCAACAATATTCGGTATCAATTGTGAAATAACCGAGGCACCCGCGAAGAACTCGGAGGATATTTTCCGTAGAATGGAGTGAAGAAACCGCGAGCAACCGCGCTCGCACAGAATAATCACGATTTCGCTAATCCTTTGATTCTCCTCGATTCTTTTTATCTTGGAAATTTCATGTCGTTTCAACAAAGAAATATCGAACATACATGCGCCTGTTGTAGAATCAAAGGTTTTCAAACGTAGGATCCAAATTTCGACTCGAGTGTGAATAGTGTTTCGAAAGTTCGATTATATTAGAAAATTCTCTGCGTGTAGAGTCGCGAGGGAGAATCCGCTCGGTTCTAAACCCCATCTCCTCCGTATAACCTTCTCAATGGGGATGTTCAATATTCATAAAAAAGAAGACTACCTGCACGGTCGTGAAGATGCATTTTCGCGCGATTGACATCGGACCGAACGGAATTATAACGGTGCCGGCGCCGACGACGTCGTCGTACTCCCGACGCGGGGTCGTACGATCCGCTCGGAGCAAATCGGTCGGCCGCGCACCGGCGGCNCCGGCGGCCGGCCGCCGCTCTCTTCGCGAAACGCTCGTCTTATCTGCGCGCGCGGACGGCCGGTGCGGAGCGGAGCGGCTAAAAGCTTTGACCTATGGCAGTCGGTCGACGATAGCCGACCCGCGCGCATTCCACTCCGCGAACGCACCCTTTCTGAATGGCCCGCCTGTTTCGCTCGCCGTGATCGCTCCGCCGTCGACATCGCGCCGTCACGAGCGCGCGCGCGCGCGCGCCAGAGAGAGAACTGTTCGTTGGCATCGCCTGGCGCAGCCGGAGCAGCCGCGCGCTCGTCCCAAAAGTCGCGTAAGTCAAAGAATTTTCGACGACGATGACGTCACACACACGTACGACCTAAGTCGCGTACGCGATTTCTTCAAACGGGTGAAGAGAAAAATGAATGTTACACGCGCGTACTTTTTTTCAGATTTTATATGTAAAATAGAATAATAGAAAAAGGATTTTATTCGAATTTTATTAGGATAGAAATAATAGGAATAGAGAATAGAATTTTATATATTTTATATATAAAATTTGAAAAAAGTACGCGTCTGTATGTACGCTACAGAACGAGTGGCTTCGACTTACGAGGAAGGAGGAGGGGGGCTGGTCGTTGCGCCGCGGAGCGAGAGATATTGAATGAAATCCGAGAGAGCGAGGGATTTTCCCACGACTTTTTTAATAATGTATCGCTCGGGGATACTCGATTTTCCACCTGGAAGGAGAGCCGGTTGCGCGGTGCGCACGAGAGTCGCCGTGACGGTAAAAATACGTCGATGCAGTTACGACCGCGCACGTAGCGAAATCAAACGTCAGCTCCGATTCGAGAGATAGCGAGACGGATATCGCGAAATTTCGAGTAGGGGTCGATATTGTGTGTATTATAAGAATACACGGGGAATATATTGTAGTAAAAATTATCACCAAATTTTGCAATTTTTCATATTATACCGGAATTATGACCGGCATTGTTATATGTGTTGTAATCTTTAATGATGTATTTCATCATCACACATCACCGAAGATTACAATCCCCAATAATTTCAGTCATAAATCTGATACAATCCATCTGATATATAATCCATATATTTTCCCGATCGTACATCTGAGAACCTTTCCCGTGATGTTTCCTTCCAAAAGAAGCAAGAGTTTCGCTCACAGATTCTCAAGTACGTTCGATATTGAAATACTCGATCGGTTACATCCCTAACATCGAGCCCATGAGCAAGCGCGCGTTTACACCAGGGGGAGACGACGAAGTGGAGCGGCGTGATAAAACCGAGCCGGAGGAAGCTCGCGGAATCCACGATTAATGATCTCGATATACACACAATTCTCGGAAGGCGCGTAATAATCGAGCGCGCGGAACCGAGCTTGAAAGTTGAACGCGCCGACGAGAGAGCGAGCGAGCAAGTAGCCCGTTACCGCGCTTACGTCGCCGGTCTCTCGAATCCTGGCTGGCAGCTGTTCCTCAATTACCGCGCGCGCTGACGCCGCTTTAGGTGAATGAGTGAACTCGCGCGCGCGAATACGCGGCAGGTATATAATCAGCGCAACAACAATATAATTTCGAACGCAGGTTCACGTACGTGTAACACCGGGAGTGGCTGATTCTCTCGCATCGCGAGCGATCGCGCGCGCCTTCGACAGTCTCGCGGAAAACAACGCGCTGCTCTTCGCCCTTCGTCCGTCTTTCTCTCTCGCTCCCTTCATCGCACCGGTTGCACTCTGAGAGTTCAGACACGATGAGAGGAATTAAGTGTAGGGAATTAGGAATAAGGAATAAGCTGCAGCTTTAAGGCACAATAAGTCAAGGGAATGGAGAATAAGATGTAAGAACGTTTTAAAAACGAAATCGTCATTTTTGTCTACACAGTGAGACCTTTTACGTTAAATTTGACACATTTCTCAAATGGTCCACGCAAATTTTTCTGTTAATTTAACGCGAGGTAAATGTGTCGAGAAGTAACACAGTATTATGTAAAAGATTAACACAATATTATATAATACTCGCGATATGTTAATTGACACTGAAGTGCGTTATTTTCGATACTTACACCATAGCGTTGAATATATCGACATAAAATATTAATAACATGATATGTTAAACGCAATATGTTAAATTAACATATCGTGTATTAATTCAACATATTGTGTTTATGTTATCTTAATATTTTATGTTGGGTTATTGTTAAATATATGTGTATTAAAATTGTATATTTTACATTTTGGCGTCGATTAACGCGTTAATTTCTGCTAATATTTGTGTTACTTCCCAGCGTATTCATCTTGTGTTAAAATAACGCCGAAACTTTGTGCCTAAATTGGCACAAAGCTTTCGCGCGGAATTTTAACGCGAAATTTGTCATTCCGTTTAATTGCATAATATTGAATCCCTCCTTCCTCTCATCTCATGTCCGAGCCCTCCCGATCACGCGATTGATCTCCTCGCACCTTCCCCCGATATTAATATTAACAATCTTCGCGCGTAGTAAATTACGTTCGCGCTGGCGGAAGTATAAATAATTGAACAAGTGTAAGGCCGCGTCTCGGAGAAGAAACCGCGCGACGACTCGACTTTTTCTGGCTCGCTCGCTCGCACGCACACCAAGCCAGCCCGATTACATCTGGTTTACCTTACGGAAAATATAAAAGTCAAATTTAAAGCACACAACGGCGCAGTTTCGCGAGATAAGCCGAGGCGATTTGAGTCGCGCGGCGGTATATAACGGCGCGCGTGCTTGCGTCGTCGTCGAGGAGGCGATCGGCCGAACGCGCTTTAACGACGCTCGCTCTGTTCCTCCGCACACAAGCCGTGGGCGCTTCGAGTGGGCCGCTGACCACCGAATCGAGAACTCCGCGCGGCCCACTCGCTCGCACCGCGTTCTCGCCCACGTAGCGAAGCTCTCTCTTCCCGCGGCCGCGTAGGTGCCGACGACGCCTCTTCGCGCACTTCCGTTGGCTCGTTCCGTCCGTCCGTCCTACGTTCCTCCTCCGGCCATTCCGATTTCTTCGCTCGCGCGCGCGGAAACTCGTCGGATTCCCCGCGATACTCCTCGACTCGTAGGCTTCACTTTCACCCGCGGTGGCCCGCGCTGGAAACCGGGATTCTCTCCCGCTCGAGCCGAGATCCCTCGCGTTCCGTTCGCTCGCCGAAACGTTACTCTCCTCGCCTCGGAGAGGAATCTCGTCGAACGGTATCGCGTCGGAAAAAATTGCTATTCGGCGAGATAAACGGGAAGTCGTCCCCCCTTCCTCCTCCGTCGTATCGATACTATCCAATTAACTTAAGTCGGTAAGAGAGTACTTTCGGGTAGTTGGGGAGGGTGTTCCGTTTGAAACGGTATTTTGTGTGCGAGAAGAAATGGAATCGTGGCGGATGGTCGAGTAGGAATGGAAAAAATTCACTGGAGATTAATGAAAATTATATTTCCGCTAAAAATTATATTCTCGTTCAAGTATAATTTTCACGAATGAAGAGGAAAAACATATTAGATACGGAAGATTAGATACGAATTGGAAAGAAAGATACCCTCGAGCTAAGGATTGTGTGTCAGATTGAAGATAACGTTTCTCCTATTCGATCTATCTCTTCCTCTTAACTCATAAAAATGATTCTCGAGTAACAATAATATGATATCTTTATATAACTATATGTAGAATTTGTTCGCACACGTTGAGCGCAAGCTTTGTCTTCATGTAAGATTACATTATTCCCGCTTTTATATGAATGAGAATACGAGTCTTGCATTGATACTAATTTCCTTCCGTTGTGACTTTTCATCCCACAACTATGCGATCTCTCTCGGCTAACTTATTAAGCGCAATAATCTAACCACATCGTCCCGATCACGTTGCTTCCAGGTGGGGATGAAGCGCGTGTCGCGAGGGCGAGAGGAAGCGGACGCGGAGCATTACCGAGCCCCATCCTCGCTAATGGAACGCCCTCGTCGAGAGTGCCACCACCTCGCGCGGGCTGGGCAGTGCGGATCACCGAGGCGACTCATACCCCAACGTCAAGCCAGCGTCCATCGGTCCCAGGTACACCACCGACGGCCGTCGAACAATGGGCTAGCGAGCGGGCGGCACCGGTTTGGACGGGTCGTGCCTCATCATCATCATTATCATCATCACCGTCGTTATCAACAACCGGAGCAACGCCGGTGTCAAACGCACAGCTCGCGTTCATCGGCGGCGCAGCGGACCGAGGAGAAATCCGCGGACCACCAGCTAACACCGCTGGTATTATCCGTCTCGACGAGCATCGTCGGGAGGAGAGGGAGGAGCTGGAGGCGACGAAGAAGGTGGAGCATCGAGCGCAGCAGCAGTGTCGTCAGGATCACTGGCAGCAGCAGCGTCCGGAGACGCCTAGCCTAGCAGCAGCGGGCCGTCTTGAACTGAGAGGTCGGCCGATGTCGCGTAACGATGCGATACCGCCGCTCACGCGGCGCCCTTCCTCGCGAGCGAGCAATGCCACCACCACCTCCGGCAGCACCACCGGCGGCGGTGGTGACGATTGCGGCACCGGCGAGGACGCGGACCATCACCCGCGCCATCATCCCGTCTTCGTCGAGGAGTGCGCGCACGATCACAGCCGGCCGTTCCCGCCGCCGCGGCTGCCGTCCGGGCCGCCGCCACCCCCGCCGCTCCAGTCGAACGTGACGGTGCCCGGGACGCCGCCGCCGACCTCCCGAATAGCGCCCCTCACCATGCCCCTAACTCCGTTGTCGAGTTCCTTCCGGAGCAGGCCGGCCCTGCGTCGCCCGCAGCACGTGGAGACGTCGAGCGACGCGAATTCCAGGAGCCTGCTGGCGTTGGACGCTACCACCGCGGCGGCGACGACCACGACGACGGCTACCACCACCACCACTGCTACTACCACTACTACTACGACGTCGTCGTCGTCGTCGTCGTCCTCGCCCAGGAGTCCGCTCGGCGAAGTGAGCTTAGCCACGCCGCGACCGGACGGCGAGCGGACCATCAACGAGTACGTCGAGACGCCGTTCAAGCATCCGTGCTGCAACCAGGAACGGCGCCTCGATGCCGACAACAAGTCCGTCGGCGACTGTCCGAAGATCGAGAGGAGGCACCATCACAACCACCATCACCTCAACCATCACCACCACCACCACCACCACCTCCGGGGCCACGAAGGCGCGACGGACACGACGTTGGTGCCGACGCATCGGTCGCGGGGCCGCGGCGCGAGGACTCACCACCAGGGTCTGCGTGGCTTCACCACCGGCGCCACCACCACCGGCGTCTCCTCCATCGCCACGTCGCCGGCGACGACGACGGCGGCGGCCGGCGGCGCGGTCACGAAGCAACCGGTCTCCTTCACGAAGGAGCCCGCGAACGCGTTGGGGGGCGCGCGGACGCCCTACGATCCGGCCGGTCTGTCGATCATATGCGACTTCTGCGACAAGTGCCGGTGCGAGTCGTGCCGCGAGCCGCCGCCCTTGCCGAGCAGGTGGCTGTGCGACAACACGTGCCTCTGCTCGGCCGAGACCGTGCTGGACTACGCCTCCTGCCTGTGCTGCGTGAAGGGCCTCTTCTATCACTGCGTGGACGGCGGCGGCGTCGCCAGCGGCGTCGACGGCGAGGAGGTGGCCGCCAGTTGCTCGGACGAGCCGTGCTCGTGCGCCGGCCACCGCCGGCTCTCCAGGTGGGCCTGCCTGGGCGCCCTGACGCTCATCATGCCCTGCCTGCTGTGCTACTGGCCGTTCAAGGGCTGCGTCAGCCTCTGCGAGGCGTGCTACGCGCGTCACGCCGCCCAGGGCTGCCGTTGCAACCCGAGCGCCATCGGCTCCGCCGGCGGCAGGCATCACCCGATCGCCGGCGACATCGGGGACTCCAGGGATCCGGAGAAGAGGCTGTTGGACCCGGTCACGCCGGAACTCTGAGTGCCGACCCCGGCTTCCGGCGAGTTGCGCGTGAGAGCCTGAGAGAGAACACTGGGACTCTAGGTGGTGAGCTCCGTCGTCGGATGCGCTCGCGGAGAAAGGGAGGGGGGG